GGCCTTGTATTTGACACATGTGAAATAGACCATTTTACCATTATCTTTATACATTACACCTTTTAACTTYCCCCACAAGACAGTCCGACCGATCATGGCTTACCCAAACTATGTCCACACCCAAGAAAGTCTCACTRAGTGACTCTAGACACCCCCTTCTAAAAAATGTGACTTCCTAAAAGGAAAATATCAAAAGTTGAAAAACTACACGTTAATGACCAAATCGGAGCATATTTTAACCAGTTCCTTTTTCTCTTTATGCAAGGAAAGTAGAGATTCCAAGCAGACTGAGGGGGGCCAGAACTGAGTAAAACACAATAAGTCACACAAACAGCGAAAACATGGATCTCCACAGTATCAGCAGGATTCTCACACACAGAGTGACGCTCCTGATGCTCACCGTGGAGGCTATGTTTCCATCTCAGCATGTGTAAATGTTAATGATTCAATCGTGTAAAAGCAATGCTAGAAACTGAATAAATTCTTTCACTGAAAAAACAACAACAACAACAAAAAAAGATTGACATCTGGAACATTAATGATATTTTTTACATTAACTTTGCGGGCAAAAAAGTGCTTTAAATGACTCAAAGCTGGAGCTACACCAAATTTGGTCACATTATCCTGTAAAAGAGATAGTGAGCGATACAAATGAGTTGTGAATGAAAGTTTATTAAGAGTGTCTTTTATGGAAATTTTCAAAGTGATCCTTTTAGTCATCATATTACACTGGATTAAAAAGCAGCTGCTAACTGAGTGAACAAGGATACATTTTAGACTAACAAGGCCTTACAGACACAACACAATAAAAATCTGCATAACTGCACTCTGGAATCCATTATTCCCAGTGATTTGTGCCGCACAAAAGCAGTTTGTCACCGCGTCAAGCGAGTCGCCGCTCTCCGCTGGGCTCGTTCCCTCAGCGTCCGTGTGGCCAATAGACACGAGTCTAAAAGCCAGGCGTGAAGGGCAAAAAGGGAGAAAAAGGTGGCAGTGTTGAGTGTTTGAATTCCCTTTACTTCAGGAGTAAAGCTGTGTTTTAGAAACACGTTATGCCTCAGAGGCAAATCACGCTCTGGCTGGAAGAGAGTTTAAATTCATAAAACAGGTTTTCTCAGCAGCGTCAGACACCTGCCGTTCTCYGACTCCATGTCTCCCTACTGCTCATGAAATGAGCGACATTTGTGATTTGCAATAAAATGTCTTAGTACCARTTTGATGCAACAATCATTGGTAAAGACGTTAAACTCCATGTAAGGATGAATTCTATTATCTTTAGTGTTACTGCAGAGGAAATTACTTTGCCATTACCTAAATTCCTGACGAACAAACATCAGCTGGAAATGCACTCTGTGCACATTTAAAAACAAGGATAATAGTGAAACATTTTATCTGAGCATGTTAAAATGAGAGTTAAGATCTTATAAAATAGGGGTGTTGTGGGAAGTTGGTGAAAAATGCTCATTGTACATGTTATAGATTGCTCTTAGAATGAGCTGAGTTTAGAAAACTATACTTTTAATTACTTCTGACTGAATTGGTGAGCTAACAGCCAGACCAAAGAAAACTGCTGCCATCCATAAATACTGTAACTTTAATCTCAATGGACATTAGTGACCACAGTAGCAGTTATGTTACTTCTTGAAAAACTGTGAGATGTAGAATTTTTGGCAAAGCAAAGGTACATATATATATATAT